ATTACATCATCATGTGGATCGACAAATAAGTATCATCGCATCATTGTGCGGATCGAGAAATACGTGTAGTGGAGTGAAAAATCCTCGCGGTCTCATTTACGGTGTAATAACTCACAATCTCAGATGTATAAGCATAAAAATGTTTTCTCAAAATCCCTTAGGGATACTCACATATGTATAATAACATATTCGTGATTATAAGTGTAACATCGAGCGGCTCAAATTCCGTAACACATTTCAAAATGGCGCAAACTAACACAACAAGAAGACTGGAAAAAATAGTCGGGACTTCTGTTAGTAAAATGAGCATATATTTCTTTAAGAAAACTATTTTTAGGAATGGTTTTCTGTTTTGAAAACTATATTCACACATCTTTCATTTGGCATAAGTTTGGTTCAGTTTTGAGATTATTTGTTATCCCAAATCTCCAGTTAAACATTATACACGTGTAGCAGTTTTCCTGCATGACATGTTGTTAGTAAAAAGAGCATATCTTTCTCTATACAAACTCTTTTTAAGAATGATTTTCTGTTTTACAAACTAAATTCACATATCTTTTATTTGGAACTAGTTTAATTAAATTTTAAGTTCATTTACTATACCCAATTTTCTGTTCAAGTCTATACATGTGCAACAGTTTTCTCTAAGGATATGTTGTTAGTAAAATGAGAATATCTTTCTCTATACAAAATATTTTTAGGAATGGTTTCCTGTTTTGAAAACTAGATTCATATAGCTTTCATTTGGAACTAGTTTGATTAAATTTGGAGTTTATTTTCTATCTAAAAAACTTAGTTAAATATTATATAAGTACAACAATTTTCTACAGAAAATATATATATCACAACCTTAAGTTTAAGCATGATTAGTTTACAAGAAGAACTCAAATAATCAAATAAACTAGGATTTTAACATGGTAAATCTTAGTTTACAAATTTAAAATGAAATTTATATTAACCCTAATGATCATGATCATATTTCTAACATAAACAACAAGAAAAACATTAGATCTAACATTTGGTTAAGAATTAATATCAAAATATACTTTTTATCATGTTATAATTAGATCTAAGCATCAAAACAACCTTATTACTTCATAAACACATGATTTTTTTGTACTCTGATACTACTTGTTGTGCAAGGAAGCCACTTTTTGTGCACCGAGGAACCAAACCAAACACTGAGAGAGAAAACAACTCAAATCAAACAATAATGACACAAACTCAAACACAAAGTTTAACGTGGTTCGGCAAGTTGCCTAAGTCCACGAGGCAAGGAGGGATGGGGTTTTCACTATAGAGAAAGAGAGTACAAAATAGAGATTACAAGATCACTCAAACTAACCTCTCAAACAAAACCCTTAAATCTCTCACAAAACCCTTAAACCATTTGCTCAGAAAAGAACTCTCTTTTCTATGCTAAAAACTCTCATTCAAGTTACCTCAAAAGTGATCAATATGATCCAATAAACTCTAAACAAATCATGTTCCTATTTATATAAAACAGGAAACCCAAACAGTGTAGGAAACCAAGCCCAGACCCAAAACCACATCACGGTCGACCGTCGCGCCAGTCGCGGTCAACCGTAGCAAACGACAGAAACACAAAATGCACTATAGAGTCTCGCGGTCGACCATCGCGCCACTCGTGATCGACCATCACGCTACTCGCGGTCGACCGTAAAAAATCCAGAGACTTTTCTGTGTTCATGCACGTTCGCGGTCGACCACAACGCCACTCGCGGTCGACCGTGCAGCATCCGAAATGTTCCCTGCTTCAAAAAATCCAAACTTCATCGCTGTGTCGCCAATTCTACAGATTTACACTATGGGTAAGGTTTGGATGTAGATAATCTTGCCTCAAGGTATTGTTAGACTCTTTGACATGAGCATAATGCCTCTCCTCCGCTAATTGTCACAAATCCTTGCGCGCCTTTCCTTCAACAAACACCCTTGGATCTCTCCCAAAGCTCACAAATTGAGTTAGAGTTTGAGGAGGGAGGTGGCTGAGGTTATTAGCAATTGAAAGAGGATTAAGAGAGCTTTAAGAGGAATATATACACTTAGGGTAACAACTGGGTTTGGGTTAAACAAAACCCAACCTGAAACCTAAAACAGATCTGGAAACAGACAGATATTCTGAAATCTGTATTCGGTTTAATGGTTGTAACTTTCTCATCCGATTTTGGAATAAGATGATTTAAGATTTGTTAGAAATCTGTTGATGAGAACTACAACTTTTGCTTTTAGAGTGTTTTCAGATTCTAACTGTATCAGTGTGAAAAATATAAAAACTTTTAACTGGTCATTTCACCAGATTTGCATTTGCACTCGTATATTCACATATATACATTGAATTGATCTCAAATCAATTCCTAGTATACTCAAACATATAGATATGATATTTATCACCATATAACATATTTATTATTAATTATAACAAAATATTTAAGTTTTCGAGTTTTACAACAATAACTCATTAAATTGTGAATACTTGACTCTACAAAATCATTTGTCAATGGGACATAACCACTAAAAATGGCCAAAAATCTTATGTTATAGCTCATGAAATTATAAATTTTTGACTTGACATAATTATTTGCCAATAGATGGAAATGATTAAAAATGACTAAAAATTATGCGTTATAGCTCATGAAATCCTGAATTTTGATCGTCGTGAAAATATTTACCAATGGTCCCACACTACTAGAAATTGTCAAAAATCATGTATTATAGCTCATGAAATTATAAACTTTTTCTTCTGCGAAATTATTTGCCAAAAGGTTTGAACAACTGAAAATGGTCAAAATTCGTGTGTTATAGCTCTTAAAATCATGAATTTTAGACTCCACAAAATTATATGCCACTGGGTCAAATAACCAAAATTGGCAAAAAGATCATATGTTATAGCTTATAATATCATGAGTTTTTGACTTTGCAAAATTATTTACCAATATATAAAACGACTAAAAATGACCAAAAATCATAAGCTAGTTCATGAAATTCTGAATTTGGAGTTGGCGAAATTATTTACCAATGGATTAAAACCAGTAGAAATGGGTAAAAATCATGAGTTATGGCTCATGAAATCATAAATTTTAGCCTTCTCGAAATTATTTGCCAATGGGTCAGAATGTATAAAAATGGCAAAAAATCATGGATTATAGCTCATAACATCGTGGATTTTTGGCTCCACAAAATTATTTGCTAATGAATTGGAATGACTAAAAATATCTAAAATTATGGGTTATAGCTCATGAAATATGAATCTTGGGCACCGTGATATTATTTGCCAATAGGTCGAAAAGAATAAAAATAGCCAAAAATCGTGAATTATAGTTCATGAAATCGTGGATTTTGACATTCTTGAAATTATTTGCCAATGAGTTGGAGCAAGTAAAGGTAGCAAAAAAAAAGCATGGGTTATATCTCATGAAATCATGAATTTTGAACTCTACGAAAATATTTTCCCATGGGTTGGAACAAATAAAAATGACCCAAAAACATGGGTTATAGCTCATGAAATGTTAATTTTTTACTCTACAAAATTATTTACCAATGGATGCAATGATAAAAAATGCTCAAAAATTTATATATTTTGGACTCCGCAAAATTTTTTCTCCTTAGGATGAAATGAGCGGAAATGGACAAGGATTTTAGCTCACGAAATTGTGAATTTTAGACTTTACAAAATTATTTCCAATGGGATGAAAGAAATAAAAATGGCCAAAAATAATGAGTTATTACACATAAAATCATGAAGTTTGGACTCTTCGAAATTATTTGTCGATGCGTCAAAATGACCAAAAATGGCTAAAAATCATTGGCTATAGCTCATGGAATCATGAAATGTGGACTCCACAAAATTTTTTGTCAATGGGTTGAAATGACAAAAATAACTAAAATCCTTTGTCGTTGGTTAGAGCTCATGAAATCGTTAAGTTTTGGACTTTGAGAAATTTTTTGCCACTGGATCAAAACGAATAAAAATGGACAAAAAACACGAGTTATAGCTCATAAAATCATGAATTTTTTGCTTTGTGAAATTATTTGTTGATGGGTCGAAATGACTAAAAATGACTAAAAATCATAGTTTATGAAATTGTTAATTATAGCTTATGAAATCATGAATTTTGGACTTCGCAAAATTATTTGTCAAATGGCCAAATTGAATAAAAATGGTCTATAATCGTGGGTTGTGGCTTAGAAAATCGTGAATTTAGACTTCTAAAATTATTTGCCAATGAGTCAAAACGAATAAAAATAAGCAAAAATCGTGGAATCTATATCACTTAGAGTTTTTCCCTTCTTTATAAATGAATGGAAATCACATGGAAACCTTCTGACATGACACCCTAGAAAACATTTCACAAAAAAGGACTCCTAATCCTTCAGTTGGTTCAAAAGTTTTTTTGGGAAGACACATTTCTATAAAGTGAAAAAAAAACCCTTAAATTTGTGGAAACTCGATTTCTAGTTTTTTGCTATGAAACCTAATATATTGCCAAAAAAATTTACGGGTGACAACTCATACTTTTTGACAATCCATCATTTTCTCTCACCTTTTCCTAAGACATGGATTCTCACTCCAACCTATGCCTTCCATGAAAACCAATTCCTTCCTTGATTTAAGGCTAAACAAACACGTAAAATCCTTTTTTTAAAACAATACTCAGAAAATGTCTGGAAATACATTTTAAGAATGAAAATGATTTCACAAAATTTTAGGAAAATAACCAAAGACGAGCTAGAAAGAACTTTTCATTTATTTTTCTATGAGCCTATGATTTTTTTTGGAAATATATTATCTGTTTATATTAAAACATTAGAAGTTAGAAAAATACATGATTCTGTGGATTTTTTATTATAATGCCAGAATTCAAAAAAGGGGGAAAGCGATCTCTCGAGACCAAAACAACTCGAATCCGATAACGGAACCCGAACCCGGTCTATTAGCGCCTCGAATCCGACCCGTTCTTAAGACTGAGTATTTCTTCTTCAGCGAGGAGAGAGAAAAGCACGAAATCCCCCAAAAAAGTTGAAAATTTTTCGAGCCCTCTTTCATTCGCTCCGATCACCACCACGCATAAACTCCATAAAATTTCAGGTAATTTTTCACCAAATCACATTTTAATCATCCTTTTCCCATGAAATAGGGTTTTGATCGTTGCAATTGACCCTGGTTGACTCCGAACGAGTCGTTTCTTTTATCTCCAATTTTTTATTTATTTCAGGTGATTATTGAAGAAATAAGAATCAGAAAGAAGAACTCTTGATCGATCTCTTGAGACCTGAAGAAAAACTTCGCTGGTAAAAATTCCTCTTCAAATTTGTTTTTTAATAATTTTTTTTATTAATATTGAGAGCATTGGTGTATGTGGCTCTAATACTAATTTATTATCTTTTACTCATTCTGCTGATTTAGCTTGATACTTATGTTTTCTACTGAAAATAGACACCTGTTAGTTTCTCTTCAATAAAAATGAACAAGAAGCAGTATATGTTTTCATTTTCATGGAATATCCGTCAAGCTTCCCTTTTATATCCTTTTTGTTCTCTTCTTTTAAAGGCATTTTGTAACTTTTTGCACACAGAGGTAGCAATTATCAAGGGTTGATGGCCACTAACTGCTCTTAACCCTCTCAACCTCTCAGTGATCTCCAATCACTGATCTCCAATCGAGGATTTAGTTTGACCCGTTCTCGTTATCCCACCTCCAGTGCAGAACAATTTGTACATACCATGTGTTTTTATTAGGCACAAGTTCTCCTGATTGGTTGTTCTAGTTCTTTGATGGATTTATTATGTTTATATATCTTATCATTTTCTTAATCATTTTGGCTGACGAAAGCATGACATCTCTTTGATAGCAGACTGGTTCAATATAATTTCGATTGTGCCTATGCAAATGAAGGAGAGAGATATCTATGTCCTTACAGATTAGAAGCAATTAACAAATCTGAGGTGCAATTATCTTATATCAGAAGCTTCTATACTCTATAGGTTGTTCAGTTTGCAAATTTAAGGTAGGTTTGATAATCTTAGAAGCTGTCTTACAAAACTTGATAGGTTATAAATCTAAAAAAGTGAAATTGTTGAAAAGCAGACACTCCGATTTTATGTCTTTCTAGCAAATCATCCCCGTAGGGAATTTCTACTCGGTGCCCACAAACAAAGAAATTCATGCAGACACATGTTAATGCACCTTCCTCTGCATCCTCATAAACATCTATGTGAACATGCCTATGCGCATACCAATGGAATACACAATCAGAAAAACATTAAACACAAATGGAGAATGAAGGATGAGATTACTTGCCCATTTATGAACTCGCATACATGCAGACAACACGTACAGAGGCACGCACCTAGTCTCTCAGCCAATCCATACCAAATCAGCACAAGTACCTGATTCCTTGTAGTTAGTAAGTGACTGCAAAAAGGTTGTTACTTTGACTGCAAGCTGAGTCAGGTGACATCTCGGTAACGTGGAAAAAGCAGAGGTGTGGCATTGCAGCCTTTGGTGATGTCTGTGTAAGGCAATTGTTTACTGGAATTCTTGGTTCAGAATGACAGAACAACTATGTAGCATGCACTGTTCTTTAAATGTAGTAGTAGATATTGTTTCTGTTATGTGTACTGCTGGTGTAACCTTAGTAGCCCATATTTTGGTTCCCTTACTCCTTAATTTCCATGCAGAAGTGCTTGAGAGTCATTATATCCATCAGCAATGCCTACACATTCTTGGTTTCCTTCATCATTGCTTGGGTCATCAAGTGCTTCACATCCTTCCACACCTACAAGTTCCTCTAGCATGAGTCCATATAGAACATCAGATCGACCACAGTCTCCATCTACTGGATTCCCTTCACCTGCTGAAGCTGCAGGAGTGATTGCTCGTTTGAGGGACAAAAGGTTGGTGTCTACAAATAAGTTGTCTTAATATTTAACTTTGTAATCATCCATTCATGGGTGCTACTTGCTTGAGACTATCTTGGCAATTTACCCGTGTTTAGTCAAATATAGTTCCTTGTCTTATGCATGTACAGTGTTGTGTATAGGGAGACAGATTGAAGTAATAATCTACTGGATAGCTAATTGGTCCGTGCAAATTATATATCATTAGGTTGACTACAGATTGCGGTTACCAATGCTATTCAGACTGTAACAATCATTTACTTTTCCCTCTTATGCTCTATCTTTATGGTTTTAGAACAGATATGGACTTGAACACTTCAATTTCCTAAATCTAGCGCAAGGGTGAGTCATTTACAATTAATGATACTCACTTGAGGTTGACTACAGATTGCGGTTACCAATGCTATTCAGACTGTAACAATCATTTACTTTTCCCTCTTATGCTCTATCTTTATGGTTTTAGAACAGATATGGACTTGAACACTTCAATTTCCTAAATCTAGCGCAAGGGTGAGTCATTTACAATTAATGATACTCACTTGA